TTTTTTTTTTTTTTTTTTTTTAAAGAGCCAGGAGGCTGGGGCCAGGCAGGCAGCCATTGATGGGGCTGGGAAAGCAGGTGGGGGATGGGGCCTGTCTAATTCAGAGATTTGGCTAATTTGGTGGCGGTCGAATCTCTGAATCAGATTCAGCTGAATCTATTTGGGACAGTGAATTGAATCAGTCTCCCCCGAATCAGCCGAATCCAAAGTGAATACTAGCCATTTCTCACAGGTCTAATAATTATTGTTACAACAGATTGAAAAATTATTTCTAATCTCCTTCATACAACTTCCTACTACCCAAGCAAAACTACTGCAGTTTTCATAGTGAGGAACCCATAAACATGCCCATAGGCGCACCTAGGTTTTTGAAAAAGGAGCCTGTGAATGGTTTGATGCATCATCACATATAATACAACATCCATTTTTCTCCAGATAAAAATAAACTAGAAGATTTACTAGGGCTTAGGGCTATGTTATTCAATTTAAAACTGAACCAAAAACAAATAAAACTTTATTAGGATGTGCATTAATTTGCTAAATCATATATTACGTATAAAACACAACCAACTAGGCAAAAATTATTAAAAGATGTTTTTTTCATTATTCCTGCAGTTGCTAGAATGATATGTACATCTCCTTTTCAGATTCATAAAACAAAATCTAGCCTTCTAGAGTGTCTTGACAGTGCATCTAATAGTTCACTGAAATTATTTCCACACCTGAGTTAATGTTTCTAGCTACAGTTAAAAGAAATCTGGAGGGCTGTGAAATAAGACCTCCATTACCAGGAGCAGCCTAACATACAGCAGAATTGCAGAACAAACAATATCTTGAATAGTAGAAAGATTAAAGACCATTAAAAGGAGAGAGGGTCATTAAGACCTGTGGAATGAAAAGTTTAGAAGGAATCAGGTATATTATAATGAGCCATGAAGTCAATTGACTCCCCACTGCTGCCTGAATGGAAATACTGCTGCTACTATCAGTTGTTTTTAAACTTTGGACGGACCAGAAATCAAAGGGGGCGAGACTGCAACACTGCACCTCCCTTGGATCCAGCCCTGAACATGCCTAAAAATACTAATTTCTATTTTCCATTTGCCAGATACCATGCATCTTCTTTTCCCACAAAACGTGAGAAAAGTTTCATATTCTTCAAGGCTAGGGACAGACATTCAAAAACCCTGAGCTTGAATTGATTCAATCTTGGCAAGTTAGTCTAACATGGCTAGGCTAAACCGTTTTGTAATCCTACAGGCATCCCAGAAAGCCAGGGGGGCACTAAAGCAGCCCTCCCCTCCCTTCAATAGTGCTGAGCTGAGGGGGTAGGGGGTGGCCATGCCCTGGCTGGACACTCTGATTAGGAAGGGGTTCCCCCCCACTGCTTGATAACAGAACATTTATCAGCTTTGTTATCAGCATTTAACACCCCATCAGAAAACTATTAGTTCAAGCTCTTCTTAAAAACCTTTTTCCAAGGAATGGAACAGCCAAGGAGAGACATAACCAGCTACCTGTTGATTAGCTCTAAAAAGGACACAGCATGGACCGTAGGCAGCATGTGGTCTGCTAGCTAATGCTGAGAGGAGTCTCTGTAAGGCAGAGGGGAGGGGGAAATCTGTGCTTAGCAGGGAGTGGTGAGGGGAGGAGGGGAACAGGAGGATGCCAGGTAGACACCTGCAGTCTCTGCTGGAGCTCCAGCCAGGGAGCAGAGGAGAGCAGCCAGCCCTGCTGTGGAGGAGAGAGGCCCACCAAGAGCGCATGCCAGGGTGCTGGTAGAGTCTGGCTTAACTTGAACCAGGATGATTGTCTGGGACAGACATTGCATAAACTGGTTTGACCCAAATCAGTTAAGTCTGATAGTACATTCAACCAGGTTTATCTCAAACTGGTTTCAGCCATTTTCAAACTGGTTTATATGCACTGAACATTGTTCTGTTACAGGTTTAAACCAGTTTCTGATCACTTAAACCAGTTTATGTGTAATGTCTGTCCCAAGCCAATATAAAAAAAAAGATTAAGCTGTTTTTAATAAGCAAAAAACTAGATCCCAGACTATAAAAATCAATAGGGAAATAGGTGTTTTTATGTAAGTAGAAGCCTTTCCTATCTTTCCTAATGATGTGCTGGTCTGATTACACTTTCCATCTTTGCTGCGGATGTTTTTTGGGTTTTTTTAAAGGTAAAGAAAATTGTACTTCTCTGTAAATGAATGCTGCCCCAGGAAATTTGCATCCTTTACCATGTAACCTTGCAAGCACCTTTAAAACTATATAATACTTTCAATCAGCAGTACATGAAGTAACCAGCTCCCTTGCTGTCTCAAAGTATCTCATCAGAAGCAGCCCTGGAGTTAGGTAGTATAATGTTCTGGTTACCCAAAAACCGTAGCTATACTGCAGTCACTCCTGTAAACGTAGTGTAGTCATACCAGAACTAGTTTTAAACTAGCTAGTTTAAGCAGTGGTGGGGGCCCCAAGGCTAAAGAACAGCCATGGGGGCTCAGTGGGGTCTGTAAGAGCTACCTGAAAAGCTGGGTTAATATTCCTATCATGTTGCCACAGATTTACTACCACCAGTATCCAAGCCAGCTTAAGTGTAGACATACCTTTTGTTGCCTGGAATTTAGCAAAAGCAGTCCTTGATTATTTCCACCTGTCATACTATATAACTCCATGTATCAACACTGTTTGGTAATTTGTTACTACTACCCATTTAATGAGGTGACAGACACAACATGTAATATATCCAATTCCTTTGAATGTCCCCATGTGGAGAAATGTAGGGCCCTACAGCATCATCATAACTGAGCAAATGGCACAAAGCCAGAGTTCTTAAATTTGTATGATCTAACTGTTTTTAAAAATACATGTCTAAAAGAACTGTGCAAGAAAAACATTTATTTAAAGCCCTTACAGGGAAAAAATTAACAAAACTTTCTGGCAGTCCAGAACACCCATTTAAAAAATAAAATGTCTCATTTAGTATCCTGTGTCAAAGCTATCCAGCATCCATGTGTTTTACAGATTTGAAAATAAAGCTTCCAACAAAACAAAACAAAACAAAACAAAACAAAACAAGAATATATAGCATATTTTGCCCAGACAGTTCCTTCTGATTCAGGCAGATGTCATTACCTCACAAAGTAGTAAGTCAATGATGTGGAAGACCATGCAGAGTGGGAATTTGGCAGTGAAGAGGGTAAGAAACCACTGGGACGCATACATATGAGCTTCCAGGTTCAGGTCTGTGAAACGGCTATACAAATCAGGTAGTTGTTCCTAGAGTGAGGAAAAAAATAAACCCTTAAATATCATATGATGATCTTCTGACTTCAGAAATGTATTGCAGACAAGTAAGAGGTTACAGAAGGTTTGACAAAAGAGAGAGAGAAATCCTGGTTCCACTAAAGTCAATGGGACTTTTGACATGGACTTCAGAGCGACTAGTAATTCACCCATGTTATCTGAGAATTTCTCTACTGTGATATCTGTAATGGATTCTATCACGGAATCAAATCAGTTATTTTCAGAGGATGACAGGAATAAATTTTATGAACTTAAATGTGAAAAAGCAGAATAGTGGTGCAATGTATACCATGTATGGGGATCTCATATTTTAAAGAAATCCATTAATCACTTAAACTATAAAGTTTTTTGGGAGGAAACGATGAAAAATGGATTCTGGGGCAGGAAACGAATGAGAAATGCTTCAGCTGTAGGACATGTGTAAGACAAGACACACAATTCCAATACATATTTACAACTCGATAAGGCAAGTTTCACAGCCAGGAGCTTATAAACACCACCACATAGGAAGAAATACCAATTCAACTAGCTGTTTATATAAATTTGTCATTAAACCACACTTACTACATAAAGGTCACCATAGCTGTCAGGTATTAATATTAAAAGAACAAATTAAAAATTAAAGAGGATTTATGCAACACCACATAAATGCTTTAACCATTGTGTGTTGGTATATTGTAAACACAAACAAACTGACACTTGGAAAGTGAGCATTAGATCGCAAAGTGTTTGCTGACACAAGACTATTTTTTAAATCTCAGAAAAGTAGGAGGAACAGTTGTATTTGTACTCTGGGTAACCAATTCAACAAGCAGGTTCTATTACTGTAACAAAAGCAACGGTCAAAGCTTAATGGACTGCTAATACAATTTTTTAGTCAGGGTCATTATATTTAGAATTATGAGTTAAACAGCTTTTAATATGAAAACATTAAATCTGAGAGAGAAACAAGATATACATCAAATAATTACATCTATAAAATGCTTCATAGTTATAGGAATGTCAGAATTTGTATAGCATCTTATCTCTTAATGCAATAGGAGCTGGAGTCTTCTTGTAACATGACTGTCCACAAAATGTATGAAAGGCAAGGATTTTTTGTGGCATTTTTTATTGGCCCAACTGTACAGTTGGCAGAGCTGTTGGACAAGCTTTCAAGCACCAAGTATCTGAGGAAGGACATCTGATGCTTGAAAGCTCTCCTTACTATACAGTTGATTTAATAAAAAATATCACAAAAAAGCCTTGCCACTCTTAATACAAGCTATGCAAATTAGGAATAAATTTATGGTACCATGCTCTGGTGAAACTTCTGTGTTAAGGATGACTTCATCATCTTTATTAGAAACGACATGCACACTGAGTAATCATAAATATTCTCCTTTGGGATCTAAAAGGCTAGCAAGAGCAAGTATATGAAAGTCAAAATAAATCAGAAAAGGACCTGAGCCACAATGCCTGAATTCAAATCCTAAGTTTCCCCCCAGTTTTGGACCTGTTGGGTCCAAAAATTTAGTTCAAGCACACTTTTGAAAGGAGACTTGAACTTTTCTACAGTCTGCAGGAGTGAAAGATTTCCTTTTCTTCAACTTACCACCTATGCTTACGGTAGGACTAGAGACCTGTACTTACCTGAATTAGTTTCTCCAGCTGGTAAAATTTGCAATGAAGATCTTCAAAATTATTTTTGTAAAGGTCCCGCAAGCCATAGTTATACATGATATTCACCAGTACACAGAATGCCTGTTCTTCTGGCATCTGCAGAGCAAAATAAAATCATACAAAAATAGAGTTGGAAGGTCCTTAAAGGGTTATCTAATCCATTCAATATGCAAAGTTCATTTAAATAATGTAACTGGGAACCCAGCTGAAATCTGAAATACTTTAGCCATATAAAACTGATTTTTCTTCTGCAAAATTGGTTCTAAATTAGAAATGTGTAAAACTTAATGTATCTTTTATCTCTGAATGAAGACACATGTTAGATCAGGGACGGGCTATTATTTTGGGTGGAGGGCTGCTTACCGAGTTTTGGCAAGCTGTCATGGGCTGCAAGAGTAGCCCCGCCCCTTGACAGGTGCCCTGCCCCCCCTTGGTTGCCATCTTGGGACCAGAAGTCACACCCACTAACCCCTGACCTTTGCCACCAGAAGTCTCTCCTCTTGCCCCCCCCCGGAAGCACTCCTTTCAGCAAAGTTTTTCCATCTCGGAACCAGAAAAATACCAAATTATATTCTAAAAATCAAACGTACTATATTATTCATTAACTGCATTTCAAGAAATGTATTTGTCCTGATCTAAATGCATTTGTGTAGTGTACAAAGAAGTGGTTGTATCATAGCTTAAAATGAAGTCTTACTTTTACATATTGTGGAGGGAGTATAGGTTTATCGGTGTGTGGGTATGTGGGGTGTGAGGGAGGGTGTGTGTGAATATGGGGTATATGTGAGTATGGGGTTTGTGGGGGGCTGTGAGTGTGTGAAGTGAGGGTGGCTGGGAAGGGTTGTGGCATGTGTGGAGGAGGAGGGTTTGCCCACAGCACCCTCATGACATGCAGAGCCCCCGCCAGCACTCCTCCAAGCCCGGGCTCTGCACTCCTGGCCCCAGGGCACCAGCACAGCCCCATCTCCCACTTGCAAACACTTCCCCCTCCATCTGCCACCACTGCCCTTCTGCCACTTCTCTGTCCTTCCCCTCAGCTCACCACTCTGGCACACCATGTCCCAGCTGCATGGGCTAGACTGCAGGATCCAGCAGGAGCTGGACCGGCCTGGCTGGCACTGCATGGAGCCAGCCGAGAATTACAGAGGTCAGGCCAGCTCTTGCTGAGTCCTGTGGTCTGGCTGGTGTCCTGGGGCCAGCATCGGCTGGGCCCAGCTCAGGGCAGCAAGAGCACAGGGTGAGGGCTGGGCTGTGCCAGCAGAGAGAGGGCGGAGCTGGCCTTGCTCCAGAGCACCTGCCAACCCAGGCCCTGCGCTCTTGCCTCCCCACCCTGGGCCCCCAACTGACCCTGGCCCCAGTGCACCAGCGTGGGCCCTGTGCTCTCGCCCAGCTGTCACTGAGCTTCCTGTGCCCACTCGCTGCCCCTTCTCCCTGCCTGCTGCCACTTTCAGCACTTCCCTTCTTGTAGTTGCCGCCACAGCTCTCCACCCCCCAACTCCACCCCAAGTGGTTCCCAGCTGCAGTGCTGGTTCTGCAGCAGCTGTCTTGGCCCGGCCCTGAGGACTGAGGCGAGCACTCATGGTCGTCTCCCCTGCCTCCACCTTCCCCACCCCCCCAATCCAATCTGAATTTCCCTCCGGGATAAATATTTTGGGCCTAGTGCTATAGCTCATTGCAACAGTGGCCGTGTCCAGGCATGCATGGGCGTTTGGTTCCCAAGGACAACTAGCAGCAGTGCACCTTGTGCCACCACTAGTTGTCCCTAGACAATATCTGTGTCATGTGCACTCTGGCGTGCAGCAAACTACCCCAGGTGGTGTAAAGGAGTCTGGGGCCAGCCTTATGTGGAGTCCTGGGGGTCTTCCAGGGCTGTAGCAGCGATGATCCTGCTGCACAGAGCCAGGCCAGCAGTGGATTGTGTCTCCAGCTGGCCAGGCTCTGGCTTTGGGCGGCACATGCTGCTGCCACGTGCGCCACTCTGCTTTTTTTTCTGCAGGTTTTTTTGACCCCTGGATCTCTAAGGGTCAAAAAACCCTCTGCACTGCTCCCTTGTAGCCTGGAGAACAACTGAACATGCAGTATGTGGCACCACACACATATCTGCATCACCACATACCACATAGCTACGTTCATCTAGATGCAGCCAGTGTGGTGTTGAGCCAGGGTTGGGGGAACTTTTTTTTTGGGAGCAGATGCTCACATTTCTCTTTTATGTTGAAGTTGGGCTGGAGGACTGGATTGTGGCTGGAGGGGAGGAGGAGCCCACTGAGAAGGGTGCCAGGGCATCCCAGGTACTAAACTCTTCAAAGGGTGGAAGCACTGTCAGCAGAAGGACTGTAGTATTGGACAAAAAAGACCAGAGCTGAGGAGCCCGCAGCCCATGAAGAACAATGCTGGAGCTGGGTCTTGGGAACCTAGGGTCCTAGGACTGTGGACCTCAGGTAAAGGGGTCCAGTCAGAGTAACATGGGCCAAGGCCAGGGGGGCTTCAACCCAAACAAGGACCTAGGACCTGAAGCGAAACCCCTCTGCCCAATTATAGCATCAAAGCATGGCAGGTGAGATTACAGGGAGAGACCCTGAGAGGCAAGCAAGGCAGAAATCCAAATGGCTACTAGGGGGTGACTTTGTCACCCCAATGGCAGATCCACTACAGCCCCCCAAGACCACATAGAAAAACAAACTTAAAAGGGGAAAAGGACATCCAAGTTCCAGATGCACTGACTGGTCACATGGTAAGGGAGAAAACAATGAATGTGTCCCTGTAAAGATGTGACTCCTTCTGAGATCTCATAAGGAATGAGTCTATCTTTTAGTGTTAGGACTTCCATTACCTCACTGCAACATCTTGGCTGAACCTCCAAATGTTAACAAAAGCTTTAAGCTTTCCTGTGACTCTACCAAAGTCCCACCAGGGAGATGCAGTAAAGCAAGCTGCCCTCATTTCTGGAGCTGTGCTGCCTGGTTATCAGCCCTCTGGGAAAAGGGAGTATCATAACAAGATACACATGAGCAGATGCCACTGCAAATCTAAATCAGGCCTCAAATCATAAAATTATGTTATTTTTGTAGACACCAAATAGGTACCAATGAAAACAAACTACTTTTGAGTATCAGAGTGGCAAGTCTTAACCTTTTATTATTTCTAGACTCTCTCTCTCTCAGCAAATGTCAACTGCGGATAAAAGCTGGATATTTTTCTTCAAAGAGAATTTCAGTCTCTTCTTTCTGACTTCCAGAGTTTCACATTTTAGCACAAAGACTAAGATCGTACCCTGTCTTCAGGCCTATAACTGGTGTTGAATCTTTTCTTTTCAGTGAGTTTACATTAGAGTAGCTGGTTAACCATAAGAAATGCCAGCTCAGCTACTACCTGCCTGAATAGACTATGGTTAGCTATAAAAAGCTGCTACATATCTCAGATGGCTCACCAGAATTTTTTCTGGAAAGATTAATCCCCATCAAAACTAGATAACAGCTGCAGACAAAGTGAACAAGAGAAATGAATAGCTTTATCTCACATGAAGAATTTGGGGATTTGGGAGCTGTTTTCAATAAAGCAATGCCTTTTACTTGTACACAGACTAATAAGGAAAGTATTTACAATGAATATGACAACTGATGCTTACACAAACATACTCCTGGCATGCTCATGTACATGCACACTTTTAATCCCTTCCCACACCTATGGAGAAGGGAGAGAAAGAGGGAGTTTACTGTTAGGGTGCCTATGTGTAGATGCCATAAAGACCACATTTACGGTGGATATAGTTGCCCAGTATTAGCAACATCAAGAGTCTAAAATCATAAGTCAGTCTCCAAAAATCATGCAATTTATATTTTTTTTGTATATTTGCTTTCTGGTTTTTAAACCTTTTAAATTTACCTCTTTAGGTTTTTTTGTTTTTGAAACCACATGATAGCAAGAAATTTTCTATTTTTTTAATGAAAATTTAGATTCTTTCATATTCATGACTCCAGGACTTGGATTTAAAGGAAAGCATCAAATATTGTTAATGTCTTAATGTAAAGCTTGAGAAATAAAACAGCACATTATTGATGGCTTTGGTGAAGACTACAAAGTTTGATGCAAGGAGGGAAAACTAGCTCTCCTGTATAATCCAAACTATGTCAAAGAGAGGTGCTTCCTTCCCTGCCAACCATTTCAATTTAATTTCCTATTACGAATCCAGAATCTGATAGATATATTATAATAGGTATAACTTCAATTTTGTATTCCACAGGTACATGGGAATATCTTCCTAATTTTACCCCAAACTCTCAACACTGGAAGGCAATTCTTAGCTATAATGGGACCAATAACACTAAACAATTACAATTTAAAAATTACGGGAAACAAAAAAAATTATTACATATTTGGATTCTGAGAAACTTTATTCACTTTTAAATACCTGGGTTACTGTAAAGCGGGTTGCTTTATCAGGGGCAAACTTATGAATGTTTACCTTTGGATAAGGACTGTCTTGTAAAACATCTAATGGACTGGTTTGATTTTGAATTATTTGGAATGGTTTTAATGTGACCAACTTTCTACTTCAACCTTCTCTGTCATACATAACCAGCCAATTCTCTTACTGGGCATTATTTTTTAGGTCTTCAGAAAGTCACAGATTCCTTTACGAACTAAAACTTATGCCTGAAATAGGCTGAATTTTGCTTTTAGATGCCTTCATTATTTCATTTCTCCCAGACTATATACACGATGCATAAATCTTCAGAGGTCACATAAAGCAGTATGCTCTAAAGGGAAATAAATTCTGATAGTTATTAATATGAAGTCCAGAACAAAAACCTGGTAATAAAAATATGCAAGCTGGCAACTGTTTTTTAAAACATGCTTTTCACAATATCCCCATCACTTAACTACTGATTTATCGGTGTATTTGCCAAGAAGCCTGTAAACGTATCTTATGTTTCAACTGTTTTAGGGTCTTGGAAGAGAAATATGATGATATAAATTGCCCAGCTTGCATATTAAGTATGTTTTTCAATGAGAGGGTCAACTTCTAAGGTCCCTTTTCAATTTTCATTCAAGAGGAGATTTTCGAATATGTCCACTAGGAGCAAAAAAATATCACTAATGTCAATGAGACTTATAATTCTCTTGGGTGCCTCTGAAAAAAACAAACTCTCAGCAACTTAAATAGGAGTCTCTCTAGGTGAGAATCAAGTTAAGAAATAAATAAAAATTATCAAAGAAATCCATGATTTGCCACAAAAAATCATTCAAAACAGGAACCTTTAATCGTCAAATAAATAAAACTAAACTACAAACTATATTTGCTTCAGTTATTACAAAATGTAGCTAACTCCTGGCTTAATGGAGTCCTACTTGATGGATGAACTACACATTCATAAAGGAATAAACCATATGCATGCTCTCTCTTTGTCATTGAGTAAAAAGGATTCAAACAGGGAAGCAAAAATGAACACAGAAAAATGAGCACTGGGAAATATTTGACAGACAGCAAGCTACAGACCCAGAATTTTTAAAGCTGGTTTGACTTCATTATGTCAGAGCTTTCATTTTTATAATTTACTCACATGCAGCAGCAGCACAGCAGCAAGGAAGGACTGTCCCTGACAATAGCCAATCTCTTCATCATAGACAGAATATGCCTAGAAAAAATAAATGCAAGTACTTTATTGAATATTTAAAATCCAAGGATGCTGTCATAATGCAGTACAACTAATGCAATGACATCTTATATCATAGACCTTGGTACTGAAGAGAGTGGAATTACAACCACTGTTATATAGGTTTAATGTGCACATAAACTACATATATATCACTATTCACATTCTGTATTTACAAAGGTTTATTTTATTTTAACTGCATAAAAATATTGGGCCTGATTCTCCTTTTACTTGATTAAGTATTGATTCCTCTGAAGCAAATGGTACTACACCAGCACAAAACCGATATTCTTAAAAAAAAAAAAAAAAAAGAAAGAAAGAAAAAGAAAAACCAAAACCTTTACACGATAAAATCCCAGAGGATTTTATTTTTAAAATGACCTGAGGGCATTTATAAGAAAACCACTAAGGATAGTTTTATAACAAAATTTTCACAAGAAACAGCTTTCCCTGGCCCCTAGCATGCTTAAATATAAATAATACAGTACAAAACAGGATGATAATTCCACTGAGATTTTCTAGGAGCACTACAGAAGTGAGACTTAAGATAACATTTTCTCAAGCATGGAAAAGCCGAGTCCCGATACAACAAATGAAACTAATTGTGCCTCGTTTAAAAATCACGCTTGTATTTTTAAGCAGTTATCAATATTTCAGCATCGCAAGTGAATCATACTGAATTGTATTTTAAAATATATATTTTTATACAACTGAAATGTCTTTGCTTCTGTTTAACCCTTTCTCCACCCATCTAAGGTTCCTGAAACTGTTAACGCTGCCCTGCTACACAGCTTTAACTTGGACATCTCTGAATCAGACAACTGAAGCCACATTCGTATTGAGCCCTCTTATTCCACAGAGAAGCAAGCTCTCTGTCAATACACCTTACAGACACGTTTTGAGCAACTGGATCCCACATGTAACCTGGTGATACAATTTGCATGAAGTTCCATCTTGTCTCTATTCCTGAGGGCACACTTGAAGCAAGCAGTAATGGTTTTATTATAGCACTATCTATTTCTGCATCGGTCAGCCGAGTGTCTAACCAGTGTTCCAAACATTGCTGTGACTATGCTACTGCATCTTCGAAACAATTGGAACACATTATTTCAACACGATTCTGTACACACATTTTCATCATGTCTTTATGTTAAGCGAGACATTGCTTTCTGCACTGGAACGATCTCTACTACAGAGATAAAAGCACAGGCTAAACACAAGAATAATATAACAGGCTTCTGAGAAATTCTCTCCATCTGTTTCCAATTGCCTGTTAAATTTTTACACTTTGCTTCAGCGGAATGTTTTTTTTAAAACATATTTTCCCCATAGGAGATATTATCTTTTGAACATCCAGAAATGCTCCAAGCCAATTTAGTGCCGCCCAGTACCAAAGGTAGTTATGGCCTC